CAAAGTCGCAGGCCTTTACCCGCTCCCACTATAACAGAACTTGCCTGAGGGCTTTCACAGCTCTGCTGCACACTTACCTCCCAGGCTGTCACTCCTTCTTGCAAGGGAAGCCCAGTCCCTCCAACAGTCCCCAAACCAAAACTGGAGGGACAGAAAGTTTGGGCAGCCCTTGCACTGCCTCAATTACTATGTCACCTCACTGGAAACACTGACTGACAAAGGATGAAGGACGATATGAAACAACCGCTGATAGCAACTGTCATCTTTTATACCATTTGCCAAGGTGTTTGCCCATCTGTTCTTTCTACAGGACTGCACACTGTTTTCCTTCCAGAGCTACCTAAAACCAGCACGCTTCCATGGCCTAGCCCTGACCCACACTCTGTAAAGGACACAACGTTTGCCATTTTAACCCAGGCCAACGCTGCCGACTTGCTGCTCTGCAACACCCAGGACAGTGGGTCCACCAGGTGGGTATGTTTAGTACTGTGCAAAGGTCACTTCCACACCTCCAGTGACCTGATTCCCACAGGCATTAAGGTTCCCAGGAAGCCACGAACAACCTGAACAAGTGGCAGTCAGTTTGTTATACCTATGCCACAGTGCCTTTGCAGGCACCATTTTACACCTTGCCAGAGCCTGGTCCTCCTTGGCTCAGGGCTACGGTACGGGCCGGCACGATGCGAAGGCGGCCAGGTGCCAAGGAGAAGCACGGCTACACCCTGCGTGCCAGCCGCTGTGCTCTCCTGCTGCTGCCTTGCTGGCTCACTCCACCCCTTTGGAAAGCCAGTGCTGAGCACAACAGCCCTGAACTACCCACTGCTCGGGTTAAATTCACCATTCCTCTGCTTCTGGTTGGGTCAGGCTGCTGACAGGCTATACGGATGAGGAAAAATGCATCAGACAGCGTACACGTAGGAAATGACATGCAGCACACTTCCAACATGCAGCAATGCGACTTCACAGGTATACAGATCAGTTCCCTGGGAGCTCTGCAATTTCATTCCTTCCACACATTGACATTGTAATGCTTATGTGCTCAACAGCAAAGAGCATTCCAGACACAGACATCAGCGTGTTTCATTCTCCTCACTGCCAAGCTTGGAGTTTCCTCTAGTTTAACTTCCTTTTCTCCCTTTCCAGACCAACGCACCATGGAAAACTATACCACAGAATTAGATGACTTGGCACTGACAACAGAATTCGACTACGGCGATTCAGCGCCATGCATGGGAACTGAGGAAAAGCACTTTGCAGCAAAACTTTTGCCACCGCTTTATTCTTTGGTGCTCATCTTTGGCCTCACAGGCAACATGCTCGTTGTCCTTATCCTGGTAAAATACAAGAGACTGAAGAGTATGACTGACATCTACCTGCTCAATTTGGCAATTTCTGATTTGCTGTTTATATTTTCTCTTCCTTTTTGGGCTTATTATGCTGTTCATGACTGGATTTTTGGGGAGGCGCTGTGTAGAATTCTCTCAGGTGTCTACCTCCTTGGCTTCTACAGCGGGATCTTCTTCATAATCCTGTTGACCATAGACAGGTATCTGGCCATAGTGCATGCTGTGTTTGCTTTAAAAGCTAGGACAGTCACCTACGGCATCCTCACCAGTGCTTTCACTTGGTTTCTTGCTATTCTTGCTTCTGTTCCTGGGACAGTATTTCACAAAACTCAAAAGGAAAATTCACGTTATACTTGCAGTGCTCATTATCCA